TCTAACGCACTATAACCTGCTATAATCCACAGTCTAACGCACTATAACCTGCTATAATCCACAGGGCTATAGATTCAAATCCAGCCCGAGCTCTGGGGAGATCCTTCACATTTCACAAAGGCTGTTCTCACATGAACTGGTGACTCTCCACTGCCCCTAGTGTACACTTCCTTTGCTCTGAAACTGGATTAATGGTAAGTGAATGCAAAACCTACTTGCAGGTTTGCTTGCTATTATTTTGTAAATGTAACTTTTTCATTATAAAAGTAACACCTGTAATTCAGTAGGAAAAAATAACCTTAAACAAACTGATATATAAAGTGTAAATGAAACCTTAATTTTATAGTCCTATGGCTGACAATACTGTGGTTATAAATGTGTTAATAAATGTATTAATCTAGAGAAAAATCAGACATGTAGTCTCAGATTTTCTTCTCAAGCAACAAAAATCTGTGATACTTCCAATGACTTTCAAGTGAAATCAGACGTCATTTACAGTGAATGGTAACGTTTGTGACCCGCAAAGCAGTAACTGGAGAATAACTCAATAACAACAGTAATAATCTCAATGCAAATCCATGTTCTATGCAAGTAAAAGTGTGATCTCCATGAGAAACATAAACCAGCCTGGGGGATATACTCGTGGTGGGGGGGGGGGTGTTACACTGTGGTGCTCAGAATCAATCCAGCACGGTCAGCTGTGAGCCACAAGCAGTGTGAATTATGGCAGAATCATAGCCAGATGCGGAAACATTTACAGCGTTCTCAAAATTGCTGAAAAGTTCACATAAAATTGAAGTGAATGGAATAACAACTTTATGGAATATATGGAATTCTGAAAGAGTACACTCGTAAATATATTTGGACTGCAATCCTCTACAGATGGGCAAAGAAATCGATAGATCTAAAGAGAGATTATGCTCAGGTAAAACAAGGGGAGAATTAACCAGGTACTCAGTGGTATACAGAAATGCATCTCCTTAAAGAGGCAGATCACTGATCTTCGTAACTCTGCAGCGATACTGAAGCTAATCTGTGGCTGCAGGATCAGCAGTGTCATGACGACCACCCCAGTGCAGTGCTGTGCCCTGTTACCCTCTGTGACCCCCAGGTTTAGCTTCCAGTGTCAAATGACCTTCCAGGTTAATTCTAACCAGTCAGACTCTGTGACTCCACAGACAGCGGCCCACCCACCGATGTCACCAAGCATCCCACTGCACCACCCGTCAAATCTCTACTTATGTTCTGTTGTAAAATACAACAAATTTCTTGATAATCATGATCCAATGTTCACCATATTTCACTCAGTATTTTTTTCTGTCACAGACCCAGTAAAAACCCCCCAGCCCCAAAGCCCAGCCCCAGACATAATCCTGTTCCATGACCATGTTCCCATTTTATTTTCATGTGTACTCTTCCCCACTCTGATGCCAAAAGAGTTGTCCTTTGCTTTCGTTCCTCCAGTCTGCTATGGTGCTTCATAGCTTCCCTTCATAAAACCAGTCTCTCCCCTCAACTGGAACAGGAACAGGAACACTTTCTATGACCTTCAAACACCAGTATCCTTTTCTGCGTCAACATCATTTTCACTCCAAGCAGGGACATAGGAATCAGGGGGATGTGCCCCCCCCCCCCCACCCAGTATTTAATTTGGCTTCATTCATCCCTCCCCCCCCCCCCCCCCAATCAACAGATATTGGTATTTAAATAATTAAGTTTGTATTCAAATAATTAAGTTCTACCAAATCTCAAAGTCTCTCCTATGTCAATGGTATGAAGACAGTTGAGATCAAAATAAATTGGTCAATCTGTCTCTCACAAACTTTACTAGCCCGATAAATATGTGCCACACTTGGGGCGTTTAAATAGAAAATTATTATAGTGTATAATTTCCTGAAAAATAAGCCAAACATTCCCCTGTGGGAAGATGGCCGTTTATAACCCATCACTGCCAATCTATACAGAGATTTCTGAGCCATCCAATCAGCAACCCAAATAAAGGATGATTTGCCCCCCCCCCTTCCGCTCACCCCCCAAGTCAGCCATCCAGGATGGACAGTAAGAGAGAAGTGGTGCTGCCCAAAAATTGTCAATCAGTAAAATCACCTTTTTATCTTCCTTTGATTTTGTTTATGTATGTCACTCCTCTCATACGTGTTAAGTGGGGAAATTCTGGGACTAAAGCAACTGATTGATACAAGAAGATGTGCAGTCAGTGTCTTAGAAACCCTCAGCAATTACAACACTGGCACAGAGTAATCAGAGCGACGCTGACAGAGCCAAGGATCGGCATCCCGAGCTGGAGTTCCACTCCCTCACTGCCCAAAAGGAAGGGGAGTGACGGCGTCAAGCTAAATCTACATATCGGGGGGAAATGACTTTTCAAAGTAAGATTAAAATATCTTTTAATCTGTCATGTCCCGTTGAACGCTTTGAGAGTTTGAGCTGGTTTGTCTTTCCTCAGTGTGTTGGACACGGCTCATGTTGTCATTATGGTAAATGCTCCTCCGTAATGGCTCCCCAATAAGTCCTTACAGGACACGAGTCGGTGATTTCCACCGCATGTAACTGTTGTATTGTGCATGAATGGAGTATTTCATAGCGTGTCCTTGTGAGTTATAAATATCTCTCATCTGACAGCCGGCACCTAGGTATGTCCCAAAGCACTCTACGAGAAGGTCTTTCAGTAAGATGTCGAGCTTTTGACTGCCTACTTATACGTAACTCTTTGGCAAGAATCCCCTTCAACAAGCTGTACCAGATGGTTCACCTTCCAGAACATTCCGTAGAAATTAAGATTACACTAAGCTGAACAATGTTGCGGAGCGTGCTTTGCTATAAAGGGAGAGAGGAGCATTGGGGAGAGAGTGATGACTAAAACAGGCATCGGTGATTGGTAGGAAGAAAGCAGTAATGCCTGATGTCCAGCCTGACCTCAACGTCTGTGCCCTTCCCAGCTCCATCTTGGTAACACGCCTGAACTAACAAGCTCCTGGTCCAGCTGACAGATGACCCTTGATCTTCTTGGGATGAATTACATTCCTAAGTCTCCTTCCATGGTCTCTGATGCACTCCAGGAAGCACACAAACGTATGACGAGGTCACCAGGGAGCACATGACAGCTACTGCATCTTCCAGGAGATGCCAAAGAAGTTTCCAAGCAAGACCTATAACAAGTCAGTGAGTTAACTAACTAATAGCATCAAGTCATGGAGGCTAACTAACTTAGATTGACCAAAGGGAAAACAAATCTAGCCTGTTGTTGCACCCTATGGATGGGAGAACTTGGTCCATGGAGCTGCGTAGTATTTATCAATACTGTATGTTCAATGAATGTTTACACAATTTAACCCAAACAGAACTGGAGCTGCTCTGATTTCTTTACTTACACTTTATTGTCCATGATTGTCCATTGCATCACGTTAGTTAGTTAATTAATAATATTGCCCGACATTAGTATCCAAAATACTCCAGCAGTACCCGCCACTGTACTATACCCATGTATTTTACTGCATCTCTTCAGGTCAAGTCATTTTCTCAAGGCTAAAGCAGCTTCCTTTCTTGAGATGCAAACCAGTGACCATCACAAGTTCTGTAACCTTAAAAAGCTTAAATAAATACCAATAAAATCATGACCGGCCATATAATCTCCAGCCAGCATCCACTAAACTGGAAGCCATATTTGGCTCCGTTCACTTCGTGACAAATGTGAGGTGACACTCATAAAGTGGCTCTTAGACCAAGTACTTCTCACTCTGTCATCAGCTCCTTGGGTTTCCAATGTCATTGTTATTTGCCACTAAGGATCTTCAGTACAGCCAATATGCACATTTACCTGCACTCAGTACCGTGCTGAAGCAGACCTCCCCAATATATTACATACAAAAACAAACTCACCATATAAACCAAATATATGGAGTCGTGTCTCCCAGTAAATATGATAACTATTGCAAAGTTTCTATCATGACAAGGATTAGAAAATGGCAATAATAATAATAAATTGTATATTAAACAAAAAAAAAGTTCCTTTCTAACTATGCAAAAAACCTACAAAGTTTTCAAAAATATAGTTATTATATCAATCCTGGCAAATTTCTAGAAAAATGAATACATAAGACCCCAAAATATACAAACACCTACAGTGTGAGTTAAAAATTGCTGAACTGTCCACTTACAAAAAAAAACCAGTAAAAGAAGGTACAGAGTTATTTAAGGAAAAATCTACACTCTATAGTTTAAGCACCTATGTTACAGAAACTGTGTAAATCACAGACTAACTGGAGGAGCCAAATTTTAAGGTGATTACAGCTGAACAAACTCACCATCCCACTGAATTAAGACTCAAGGCTTTTTTCCGTGAAAGTCGAGTCCAACAAGCGGAGAAGGGCCCACAAATGATCTGGTTGTGTAGCCTTGACCTCTCTATCCATTACATCACCTTTTCGAATGCAGCTTTCAAGAACTGGTACATACATGCAATATTAGTAAGAAAACTATACAAAACAGCTCCAATTTGAATTGGCAACATAAATGCTTGTTTCCCACTATCGTCCAAAGACGTGCAGTTACGTAACTAGCATCTAAAAATTGCCTATAGTATGTATGTATGTCTAGCAATGGATTGGATGCCCATTCTTTTCCCTTATGCTGTAGACCGTCCCAGATAGGCTCCAACCCCCCTATAACCCTATTCAAGATATGTGCTGGAAGATGGATGAATATGGAAAGTGCAGACACATCAAGTGCACATATATTACAATACAGATACAATACACAGCTCTCTAAATAATATTTGTTGAATGTGCTCATACCAGAGTCACTGGCTGTGATGATCAAGGTGTACATCTCCTGGGTTTCACGGTCCAGACTCCGGGTCGCGCTCAGGTGACCGTCGGCCGTGAGGCTGAACACACCCGCTCCATTTCCGTCGCTTAGCATATAGCTCACTTGGCCGTTTTCTCCTTGGTCGTCATCGTGCGCCATGACCTGTGGGTGAGGCCTCGTTGGTTAAAGACAAAAGACCTTGTTCCTGAATCACTCTCATATTGGTACAATGAAATCTAGATCCTTCTGACAGATATACCCTTTAAAGACTGTGCGCAGAAGTCTGCACTGAACCGCTTAATGACCCAACTGAATGGTTCCCTTTCCTCATCGTCTTACAGTGGTTAAGGCTACTTACGATCAAGCGCATTTCAATCCCTAATAAACAGTTCATACTCTGATGCTAGAAAGCTCTCACCTGTAGCACGTTCTTTGGTGGATGCTGAAGATTTTCTTGGACTCTGATCGTATAAGGAGACAGTTCAAACCACGGTGCACAGTCATTCACATCGAGTAACATGATGTTGACTGTGGCCCGGTCCATCCTTGGGCTGCTCCCACGGTCTGTTGCCTTGACAACCAGGGAATAGGAGGGCCTCGTTTCCCGGTCTAACGCCCTGGCAACTGTGATAGTCCCGGTGATGGAGTCTATCCTGAAATCTGAACCGCTGTCCCCATCAACAAGCGAGAACAGGATCTGACCGTTGGTCCCCTCATCTGCATCAGTAGCAGACACCTGCAGCACGTCAGTGCCCAATAGAATGCTCTCCTCGATCTCGATGTTGTACACAGCCTGACTGAATATGGGCGTGTTGTCATTGACATCCAGGACGACGATAGTAACATCCATCTCTGAAGAGCGCGGCGGCTCCCCTTTGTCTCTTGCCACAATGCTGACCACATAGTTTGAACGTTCCTCTCTGTCCAGTTCTCCAATGAGCCTGATGTGTCCATCATTGCCTCCGACACTGAACTTATTCCTGAAGGTATGGCCAAGGGAGTATTCCACATAGCTGTTACGCCCGCTGTCGCAGTCAGTGGCCTGAGCGGTGAACACCACTGTGTCCACCGGCGTGTTCTCCTTCACATAGACCGTCTTCTGGGAAGTAAAGCTGGGAGTGCAGTCGTTCACATCCAGCAGAATGATGGAAACCTGTGCGGTGCTGGTGAACCGAGTCATGGGGGGCTCAGCGAGGTCATGGACCCTGACCTCGAGGTTATAGAAAGACTGAGTCTCCCTGTCCAGGCTTCTCCTGGTCTTCAGAACTCCAGTCTCATCAATATGGAAACTGGCCCGTGGATCTCCAGAGGTGATGCTGTACTGGAGCTTTGCATTCTCACCTAACAGGACACACCACAAATACAGACGTTAGTCTTTCAAACACTTCTCTTATCATTCATATCTTATTATTAATATCATTAATGTATATTAATAACGCCGTATGTAAGGCTACCAAGTACTTTGTGCAGCAAATAATTTGTTTTCAGTGAAAACAAATTAAGTTATTACATGATTAAAAGCTTCTAGTATCATAAGAAAAAACCCTTTCTGCTAATGTATGTTATAAATTAACACTAAAAAAAAGCAAAACAAATTATCTCAAATTATAACACTTTCCAGGTGCTTTGCAGATAAAAACTTTATGTATTGCATCAGTGAAAATTATTACTTTAATATATAAATTTCTAACAGTATTACACATATTAAGTAACAATGCAGCTGTAAGATTGAATATAAAGTTAATTGGTAATGAATATTAATATTAATTACGCCCAAATGTTAGGAATTACTACAATGTGCAATACAATACCAATTGAATTACTCACAGAGAGGCAGCTGGCATAATAACTATTACTTATTCGCAAAAGTATACAATACTCTGGTTATCAAAACCACAGGCTAATTTAATCTTTGTAATTTGTATTGACAGAAATTATATTCTTATCATGCTAAATTGCTTTTTCCATCAGAATTAGGGTTTTATATATAGAATGTTCTACAGATATAAGTGATGCATGTATGGTTCCATTTAGGCTGTTTAAGGCTTGCAGATGTTTTCTTCCCCGTCATCAGCCTCGCCTTGTTGAAGAGCTGCAGATATTTTGGCACTTAACATCTGTGCCGCTCTGACCCAAGTTTAATGTGAAACTCACGCTACTTTAAACCTCAGCTCCGGCCTCGCAGACGAAAACACCCATGAAATCTGAGGCTGAGAGTCTTAACCAAAGCCATGTCCTCACATCCATGCTGCAGACTCTGGGCCATGCAGAGCGATGTGATTCATTTGTGAGTGAGACAAGTTGCCTGTTGAGTTTCCATGGCCGTATAGCAGGAGAGAATCAATCTCACCACATTTCCCTCCAAAGTCATTTTTTACCATAAAAATATTTAAAATACTGCCCTCATACAGCTACCATGTACCAGCTTCTAGTGTCATAGCTATCTTGTACCAAACTGTACCCATATGACCGTTTATACAGTCTCTCTATAATAGTAAATTCATATGTTAGGGTTCAAATATATTAGGTTCCCCATACAACAGTGTAGTATCTATCCTGTGCAATAGTTCCTAGTGTGACAGCTACCTTGTGCACCACATATGCACAACAGTCCCCTGTGTATAATAGCTGCCCCATATAGCAGCTGTCACACAGTACCTTCATCAGCGTCGCTGGCCATCAAACTGACCACGCTGCATCCCACAGGCACGTCCTCCGCGACCGACACGCTGTAGCCGCCGCTCCCAAAAACGGGGGGGTTGTCATTGACGTCCAGGATGTTGAAATACACTCGCACCGAGCTGGCCTGCCTGCCCCCGTCCTCGGCCCGCGCCGTCAGCACGTAGAACTGCTGGGCCTCGTGGTCCAACGGCCGCGACACGTTGAAGACTCCGGTCACTGAATTCAGGAAGAAGGCGCTGTCCTCCTCATCCTCGTCCAGGGAGTATGTCACCTCGCCGTTGGCCTCTGAGTCTCCGTCACTGGCCAGTACTGCTGCCACAATGGAGCCTGTTTCAGAGATGTTAAAATTCAATTATGATATTACTAGCATTTCATATAAAAGCTTATTTTGAGCTTTAGCATAAGTCCAGCTTCAGTTTTAATGTCATGTAATTAATTCTCAGTAACGCTTTACGTTAAGTGCACCTTCAAAGCACATTTATAATGTATTCATAGAACATTAATAAGGAGCATGAGAGTATGCCTTAATATGATGTTCTGTGCATGCATTATAAATGCATTATGATGGTGCCCTCAATGTAAATCATTACCAGTTTGTTATTAATGCATAATAAAGCCATCGTATCTTGTTCACTGAATTTGTTATGGATGCAATTCTTTAAGGTGTGTCAGAGTATACTTACATGCTGCTTGCGAATGTTCTATGGGTGACACTTGAGGCACAAATAATGTAGCAGTATATGCATATTTCATGCATTAATTAACCAGTAACTAAGTGCTAATTACATACTGAGCCCATGCTTGTTCATCATTAATCAATCATGACAGTTCATGCATATCATGCAGAAACTGTATTAGTTTATCATTTATTCTAGAGTAGTAACTGAGTAATTAAGTTAATTGTGGCCCCTCCGGTAAAGTGTTACTGTTCTGTGAATACATTATAAATCCATTATGAAGGTACACTTTATGTAAAGTGTTACCTAATTCTCTATTATATTGTGACTTAAGCCCTGATTTGAATTATTCTATCAGGTTACCATTAGGTTACCGATTTATGGAGTAAACAAAGGTAATAAAAGGTGCCTGATACCTGGAGCTGTATCTTCTGGGATGTCGAAGGACCACACGGCACGTGAGAAGCGGGGCGTGTGGTCGTTGACGTCGCTGACCGCGATGTTCACCGTCATGTCCGACGACTGCTTCCCGTCGTCGGCACGCACCAGCAGCGAGTACTTGGATCGCTTCTCCCGGTCCAGGCGCTTGGTGGCGATCAGCTCGCCCGACTCGGGGTTGACGCGGAAGCTGTCGTTGGCGCCGCTGATGATGGCGTACGTCACCAGAGCATTGGGACCCTGGGAGTAGGGACACAAGCATGTGTGGCTCCCCCTTTAACACGCGAGCGCAAATGTGGCAACCACTGAATTATAGGATAAGCCGATAATTATAAGCAGGAACAGAGTGGGGCAGCGCAATCTCTCAGAGCTTATTATTACGCTTTAAAGCTACGGGCTCCACTTCCTATCTAGTCATCAAATAAATGCTCACCCTGAAATTAATGCAGATCTTTTCATACCTTTAGTGACAGGGGATTTGAGGCAGTGAGAATTACTCTCTAATAGAAACTCTCACAGCTGATCATTGTATCCACGTTTTTCCCTAAATTTATCAAATATTTTAAGACTTACACCCCCCCGGAACAGAATCCAAGGAGTTGCTGCATTTACTTTGGCTTGAACTGAAGCTGCATATTTTGGATTTTGCGGTCTTTTGGAGTAACCTCCAGCTAAAGCAGCGGCCGTATAGTTATCATAATGACAAATCTTAATTCTTTACTTGATGTTTACTTGAGGCAGCTTCACTCATTACTGGTGAATATGATTCTACTTAATGCTTTTGCTTATAAGCTGGTTTCCCTAACTGCTAACTGCCCTATTCACACATCCTATTTCTTTATTGTATTTACCAAGCAGACTCTTGTTTCATATTTTAAGCAGACGTTTGTAGATCAGAGAGCATTGTCAGTCAGCGTTCCTGGAGCTTGTTTTGGGTTAAGGGTCTTGCTCAAGGGCTCAGTGGTGATATGATCACACTGCCGGCCAGGGGTTTTAAACTCATGACCTTCCGGATGCGGACATAGATCCCAAAACCACACAGCTACATGCTGGCCCTAGAGGACAACAAGGAAGCGGAGTCCTGAGCTCCAGCGGTAGGTCCCTCCCACTTCAACGGCTCGTCCAGACATCAGTCAGGCTTCGGTCTGGGAAAGCGATTTAACCGCAAGCACCTCCCACAAATGAATGGTTTTGGGGGTTGGGGGGGGGTGGGGTGGGGTGGTATTTTAGAAACGTAGGAGCTGACATTATTCTAACGTTCACTTTGTTCCTTCTATCGGAGTTCTGGAGAACAGAAGGGAGGAAATTCGCTTAACGGATGGAAAGATTCAGAGAGGTACACGAGGGACACTCTGGAGAGGTGTTGGGAATGTGGTCCTCTTATATATTCCTATGACAGATGCTAAATCATCCTGCAGTACGAAACGCACTGTGACCACTGACAGTTTGCTTAAAAGAATGGAGATCAGAAATTAAAGTGATGGTGGATGGAAGTTTAGAACAGGGCTGTTGCGGTTTGGTAATTCCATTTTTCAGCCCAGCACTGGGCATTTGGGATCCTGGCTGCGTGGGGCTGTTCTCGCACACATGGAGGTCTTTGCTGGCTGCCCAGTTTGGGCTAAGCTCCTTCCTTGGCTTATGATCTACCTTCTTGTTCTAGGATGTGCGGAAAATGCTGTCTTTCCTGATAGAAATCTAGGGGAAAAACTAGGGAAAAAATAAATTACAAAAAAATGGATATGTGTTGGTTTGTGAGCAGTCCTAAGCAGTCCTAAGCGTATCGCTGCCATTTGATTTGCCGGTCGCGTATACAGAGGGTACAGCAATGTAAAAAAAGACAATATGGTTTTCTAGAAAGTGCTTTTCAGCCCTTTTGTAATGTTTTGCATTCAGACATCCACAATTATCCACGAAGCAGGCCCACACTTTGAAACACTGCAGCCTGGACAGGCAAGGCATCTGTCATGAAGCTTCATAGCTAAAGTCAATGTACCGCTATCAGTTTTTCCTTTTCCATCCATCACGCCGGCGCCAAAATGACCATTTAAAACATCTGACAGGGAGGACAATGTATTGGGGGAAACTCTCAGGTGAGCGTACTGTTGAAATCTCAGCCTTCATCTCCTTTTCATGGTGACCCTTTCACTTCTAGACTATCTCAGGATCAAAGCTTTCGGTTTATGCAGTGCTGAGAGATAGCACATACGTCAATGGCTGTGCCTATATAAAGGAGGTCCTGTTCTCTCACCAACAGGTATTGAGCTGCTCAGCTACAAGTCAGTGGATTATTTATTGGGTTCCTAGACTGCAAATCATCAGATTCTCCCACACTGCCTCCCACACTGTCTCCCACACTGCCTCCCACACTGTCTCCCACGCTGCCGCCCACACTGTCTCCCACACTGTCTCCCACACTGCCTCCCACACTGTCTCCCACACTGTCTCCCACACTGCCTTCCACAGTGTCTCCCACGCTGCCTCCCGCACTGTCTCCCACACTGCCTCCCACGCTGCCTCCCACGCTGTCTCCCACGCTGCCTCCCACGCTGCCTCCCACGCTGTCTCCCACGCTGCCTCCCACGCTGTCTCCCACACTGCCTCCCACACTGTCTCCCACACTGCCTCCCACACTGCCTCCACTCTATAGCCATGTCGCTAATGCAGTTTGGTTGATGGGGTTTTTCATGAATTCAGCAACAGTAGACAAGGACATGGTTGGGAAACTAGGAAGTCCTACTTCATCAGCGTCTGTCGCTTTAAGCTGCACGATGTTAGCCCCGCTGCTGATGTTCTCCTCGACGGTCACGTCGAGGGTGTCGCTCGGAAAGACCGGCGGGTTGTCGTTGATGTCCTGTAGCGTTATTTCCACCTGCGAGATAAAAAGAAAGAGCAGCCTTAACAACAAATCCTCCAGCTGCCTGGTTCTTTAAGGGGATTTTATTCCTCAATTCCCACCACGTCTCCGTAGATTTGGCCGTATAGAATGATCCAGCAACTTGGTGACAAAACTGAAGAAATGTTTGCTGTTAGAAATCCAGTGAACAACACTGTACTGTCCATATTCTACCATGTGATTTTTGTTCTTTTGTTTTTACATGTAAATGTATGTAAATAATTGCCAGTATCCTGTTATAGTAAATAAGAAGAAGCATTGTGATATGATTGGAACTCAGAGTGTCCAGTGCTGTTCGCTGTTTAAATTTCCAGTTCTTCACATATCAGCGTTGGTTGACGTGAGTCATCCAAAAAAACATTCAGGTTTATTTAAATTGTGAACCAATCACAATTAGGTAAAACAAAATACAAAAATAAATCACAATAACGATAAAAAATAAAGTTTCGTGCAAAGACTGTATTGTACTCTCTCTGGAGCGCATTCTTCCATTTCACAAAACCAATGACATTGATAATGACAATGGAATAAACCAAAAGCAAATTGCAATGCAAGGAGTTTCACTGGGCTGTACCATTGTAGTGTTAAAATACCTATATGCAAAAAACAGTAAAATTTGCTTGGACTTCTTTACATACAATATAACCATTCTGTAATACTTGCAATTATTTACATAAAGTACAGAATTATTCCATTACGATATGTCATATTGATACGTAATTAGCCAGTGAAGTGGAGAATTTTCCATGGTTGTTCTTATGTCAACTTCATTATATTCCTACATTTCACACTTTTTACAAAAAGAAGTAAAAATGTTAGGAATCCTAAATAAAAAACATTCCACTGTTTTCATAAAGTTATGTGGCTGTTGGAGTTTGAACATCCTCTTTCTTTCATCCTCCTTTTAGCCATAATTACACAAAGAAGCTTTGCTTTCAAATGCCCGACTTGCTCTTAAGCCAAAAAGTGCAGACCAAAGTCGATTAACAGTGACCATTCATCTAGCGCTCCCATTCTTCCATTTTGTGAATAAAGCCCTCTGACACACGGAGGTCAGTGAGCATGGGATCATCTGATACGTATCTCTGAACCGCCCTCATGAGGCACGGTGAGAAATTGCTGAGAGGAAATAGGAGAAGAGGAAGGAAGATGATGTTCAGCTGGTCATGGGAGGTCAGAGGTCAGCCTGGGTGGAACGTGTTGGTTTAAAATGATTCCTTTCCATGTCGGGCCACCACACTCCCTGCCAAGCTGATATCATGTGACTGGAAAACAGAATGACTGACAGGGCATCAGCATCAGCTGAGTTACCGGGGGTCCAGCATCGATTACCATGGAGCAGAAGCGTTAGTAGAGGTTTATGATACAGGGGACTAAGCCATTACTTGGGCGGCCTGATTTTAATGAAAATAAATGAGAACACAGTATTTAAACTAATTAGTGGACACTTAAAGCCCCCTAAAACAGCCCCAGAGACTCTCATGCTGTGCCGCAAGATGTCCTGTGATCAAATCTAGTAAATGAAGTGTCCGCAATTAGCTCAGATCAGGGGTGTCAAACTCCAGTCCTGGGGGGCCGGAGCCCTGCACAGTTTTAGGTTTAGCTTCATTTAACACAGCTGATTCAACTCCTTGTGCTAATTGCCACAGAGCTCATAAGTTAAACCATTTGTGGTGGAACAGGAAAGGAGCTAAGATACACAGGGCTCCGCCCCCCCAGGACTGGAGTTTGACACCCCTGGCTTAGATGGATGAATATATGAGGAAGACACTATTCTAAGGAACCACAGGAGTCTAACTGCACGAGAGGCACATCTGTGTCCTCAGCCATCATAGTGTCCTTCATAAGGGCAGCCATCTGTTAGCTTCAGCTTGGGATATGGCAGTCCCTAAACCACGCTTATTCTGAGTAGGGATGCAGAAGAGAGTCATGTGACATGAGTATGGGGGAGGGAAAGGGGACTTTATAGGGATACAGGACAGAGGGCAGGTTTCGCAACAACAGTGGAAGGAATAAAGAAATATGTACATTTTGTCGTCAGGACAAGTTGAAAGGCAAGAAAACAAAGCCGAGATTAGATCAGTTTAAGTCTTATAGGCCTGGGAATAAAGCACAGGTGGGAATAAAGCAAAGGTGGGAAAAAGCACAGGTGGGAATAAAGCACAGGTGGGAATACAGCACAGGTGGGAATGCAGCAAAGGTGGGAATAAAGCACAGGTGGGAATAAAGCAAAGGTGGGAATAAAGCAAAGGTGGGAATAAAGCACAGGTGGGAATAAAGCACAGGTGGACTAGTGAAAGCGCTTATCGAGTGAATTAGCATCATCCATTTGCAAAACCACAATGGTGATTACACACTCAGCACACCTGAAACCCGCATCACCAACCTGCCCATGGCAACAGGGGGTATAACAAACAGATTTTGTTATGATTTGACAGGCAGGGGCTGGATTTTGGGAAAGGACTTGAAGGCCGCTTGTTCTTCCCCAACACTGGCAGCCAGCAGTCAGTATCAGTGTTTCCCAAGCCGGACCTCGGGACCCGCAGACAATCCACGTTTTTGTACCGGGAGCTGAGAGGGGACAAACATGTGCCGTCTGGCAGGGACTTGGGTCCCCGAGGATCGCGATCAGCAAAATATACTGTACCAGAACACCCCCCCCCCCCCCCCACCCCGGTCAGCAACCCCAACTCCCACCCTATCAAATTGGGTCGCAAATCCCCGGTCCGCTCTTTGCTGCCGGTCCGCCCCTCTGCACTGAGAATCTGGACAAATGACTCCTGTTTTCCTTCACCCTAATGCCCAGTAAGGAAAGCTGACTGCTTTTCTTCCTATAAAACTCAAAATAAAGCCTTATTCCATAATGCATGACCTGTACCTTTCTCCACTGCACTGCTTATATAAGAAAGAAAGAAAAAGTTTTGTTTTTTGTTAGAGTGGAGAAAGACAGCGACTGCAGCTGATATTGTTTTTTTTCCAGTGATATAACATTAGAAAGATGGAGAAATATTAAAACAAATTCCAGCTCTTTCATTCACCCAACAGACATTTATAAATGAGTTTTTTTCTGGTATGAAAGAGACGGTATTTTCTAAAACAGCAGAAAAATTCTTAAAAAATCTTTTAAAAAGTGCTGGACCTCCTAACCTTATAAAATAATTCCAGCTGCAAGGTAACCACCCAAGAATACGCAGTCTACAATGTCTAAATTACATTATCAAACTAATTACATTTTTTTTTAAATTTCAGATAAAACAATTGTAACATTTTCAAAAAGACATTATTATGAAAATCACTAAAATCTTTAAAGGGTCACACTTTGCTGAAATGCTGTAATATTACAGAAAATTGTACTTTACATTAAGGCCAAAACACTGACCTCTGTTAGGAGCATTAATGACCAGTATCTGTTAGTCTATGCCAGTGTTTCCCAATAAAGTCGTCAGGGACTCACAGACAGTCTGTGTTTGGGAGGGAAACCGGGCCGTGAAACATTCCTCAGATCCACAGAAGTAACTTCAAAACTGGGCATGGCTGCTTTTTCAAACTGAACATACTTGCTTGCATCCTCCCAAAAAAATAATGATCAGTAGGAGCAGTGATCCCAATGAAAGTACAGTAAGGTGTGCATTCTGCCCACGGTCGGTTTCTTGCAGTTACAGATGAGAGGCAGAACAACGGTGCCTTTTAAAATGAGTCTCTTTCCGTCGTTCACTTCACAGTTAATATTTAATGACAGGCTGCTGGGCCAAAAAATTTAGGGCAATATTAACTTCAATTTCACGGGTTAACTGTAAATTTTAAGCACTGTTCCAGCACTATGTGTAATCAAGATAAAAACATAATAAAACATAATAAAAGGGCCAGCTTTTTATTCCACCATGGCAGCAACTAGCTTGGTCTATCAACACAAGTTGTGAGGCAGGATGATGAATCTCCCCAAACTGTCAGCAACGCGTTCCCTGGCAACTGGAGTCGGTCCAGATTGGGAAAGGGAAGAATTTGGGGAGTTCCTTCAAGACGACTGCCAAGTTTGTACCCTGATACCAGAAGTTATGGGATTCAACACTCCCTGAGCGGAAAATGTGGCACTAAGGGTTGGTTTATACCTGCTGCGGAGAGTGTGGAGTGTCATGCCGCTTATTTTCACGCCAAGGCTGAGGTGGCACTGTAGGCCAAAGCTGCTATTAAGTCATGTTTATGAAGTACAGTGTGCATGTTACATTAAAAATAAGTAGTTTACCAAAACTAACTGTGCATTATGTACTTGCAGTGTGCAAGGACACAGATATCTGATGTTGCAGTTACAAACATGCTGCAAACATATTTTAGATCCAAGTCATCTGAGAGTCTTTCTAATCTCGCAGCAAGGAATCATACATCTCTCTTATTTTCAGACTTGCTTAGTAAACCTTTCTTTGAATCTTCTAACCATGTTTATGTTCAGTCTGATCAGAGAGGGTAGAGGAGGTGTTAGTTTACAGTCTTTAGTTTGATTTTCTTTCTGACTTTCTGCTAGATTCTTCCCCTGGCCAATGAAGATCGAGGCATGCTTGCATCAAAGACCGTCCGCATTGTTTCATTTCTGAACGTGTGAGGTATAACCCAGCCCTCGGTGCTGGTCTGAACGTGTGAGG